CAGCTGGAAATCTTTTTGGATTCACATAACACCATCTCCCGCTCTTTCAACTCATAGCTTTCTCCCTGCGAGGCGCGGGGTAGATTGGATCCTCGAGCTGGGTGTTGGGATCCACGGAGAGGCTTTGGCCTTGGCAGCCGGGTGGTCTAAAGCTGCGAACTTTAGACATGTGTGAGGTGATAGGTGTTGAGGGTTGGGCGCTACAGGCTGTAGTGAATCGGGGCTTGATTTAGATCATGGCCAGGATCAATCCTCAGAGCAAGACTCCTGGTACAGCTCCAGGAGTCTCCGTCTTCGCGTCGATGTGTGGACATGGCAGAAACGGGAAGCATCAAGCTCGGTCTGACGAGAGACTAAAGCTGTAGGCACGAGGCTGCTTCCAAAGAAAAGCGCCTTGTAAACCTGAATTCCAAACGCCAAACCTTGCCAAAGCCATGATGTGCAGGCTGGGGTGCAAGAAATGTCCTCACTCGCGCGCCTCGCTCGCGGATAGGGGGGGAGGTTGTGGGGCAATCTCGGCTTCGGCGTAGTTCAGTTGTTTCGACTATCACATAGAGGCTGCAGCCATATCCAAAAGCTGACTCCAGGCGCCCGAATTCCCCGTCCTCAAGCCACCCCTCTAAATGCTTTTGCTGCTATACTTCAAAGATTTGTCTGGTAGCCCAGGAGCCTTCCTGGTGCCACAGATGGCCGCTTTGCCACCGCCGTGGTTCCTTTGACCCGACTTTAAGACGAGGAGACTGTGATGTGCTAGGGGGCACTACATAAGGCCTCGATTCCCGAAAGCTCCCCCAACCCTGAAGCGCCACGTCCTCGGGCATCAGAGCTTAATCCCGCAAGCTCTCGACCCGACAGTCTCAAGCCCGGAGGCTATGAGCCTTGAACGGTTTTGTACGGGACTTTCAGGTGCGAGCGCTGCTTCGGCAGCTGCTCCCAGCGACGAAGCTGCCGCCTGGTGGACCGCCTTTTGGGATTACGGTGTTGGCTTAGGGCTTCCGGGCTTTAGGCGCCGTGCTGACGTGGATCCGAAGCAGAGGCAGAGCGTGGCAGATTTCTGTTTGCACGTGAGGCTTCGAGTTTTCAGCGGCTTTCCCAGCTTGGGAGGAGCCACACAAGATCCCACGATGTCTTTGCACCCTATAGACAATGAAGTCTGAAGCCAAACCCTGAAGAAGCTCGGAACCCTAACTACCAGTAGAGCCCTGTTCTTCGAACTGCAAGCCCGACCATAGACCCAGTGGTGGGTTGCCTTCCGTGGCAGGTGAAGGCGTCGTGCTGGTCCTGAACAACCTCGGAGGCCTCTGCTCGGGGTCTCGGGTTGGGGATGTAGGGCTTTCAGGTAGTGGGAACCTGGCGCCAAAGGAACCCACAGCAAGAGCCGATCAAGAGCCGAGTTCAGAGTTTCGGAGCTTAGGCATCATGGACACTGACAGAGGTGGTAAAGCAAGGGGAGAGGATTCCCACTTCGGGCGTCATTGGTTCGATGGTTTGGGTTACGTCTTCTTGCGGTATTGCCCCGTCTCTTGCAGCCACGCAGGCACGTCCCCCTTGGAGATGTCAGTGCTGTGCGATGCCGCCTTTCGCCAGCTGCAGGACCTGGGTGTCGAGGTGCCCGGACATGGAAGTTGGTCTGCCCTGCTTTTTTGCATTTCGGGATCGGCTCAACTTCCAAAACGTTCACTGGTGCTGTCGAGCTGGGCGGCAAGGTACGGCACCACATCGAGTCGTCGAGTGAATACTCAGGGTTTTTGGCGACAGGCGCCCTCTAAGCGCGCATTTCGAAAGCCTCGAACCTCGACTTCCGAGCTCCAGACAAAAAAGCTGCAGCCCTAAGGCTGACTCTGAGCCCTACTGACATAACGTGAAAGAGTATCATGTAGATATCCGTTATCCCATCACAACAAGGCCTTTGATAGCTCCTGTGGGTGCCTGTTTTCGTGGTTCCACAGTAGGTTCAAGCTCCTCTGTCTTACTTGACCCGAGGTCGCTGGTTGCGTGCAGGGTACCTTGGTCACCTGCTTGGACATGCACGGAGCCACTCGGCTCCTGACAGTCGGATGATTATCCCAAGTCACGGTGCCTCGTTCGTGCCAGGCAGGTCCAGGTAGGTCGAGCCAGTCATATTTTGGGATTACCCTGGTACCCCAACACAGAGCCACCCAACACAGAACACTGCAATACAGGTACCGTGGACAGGCATCTCGAGACAAGAAATTGTATCGGAAGCTTGCATAGGAAGTTCCAGTTACAGTTGGTACATAGCCCCTCGTCACAGGAAATCCAAAGCTTCACGTTGAAAAGATGCCTTGCCCACAAATCTCGAAATGTGCCTTTTCGCAGACGGGAGAGCCTTTCACTCTTCAGCCCCCCAAAAGAAATCCCCTGGCACCCAAACCCTAAACCCATCTAAACCCTAAAATACCCAGGTCTCTTTGTCCTTGATCCCCCTGGCCGATGCACCGGGCCAGCTCTTGGAGCTCTTGGCGGCCCCGGCGCAGGCGCGCCAAGAGGCTTTGAGGCATAGGATCCTCTGTGGGGTGGGACGGGGGGTACCGGCAAAAGGGATTGCTTGTGTCAGTTCTGAGTTCGCGCTTCGGGCTGTAGCCACAATTTGGGCGGAGCAAAGCTTAAAACAACAGGGAGGAATCCGGAGCAAAGCGCTCTCCCCAGGTGGGATCCGCTTGGCCTGGGCTTCTCATCCCTCCCGAAGACTCGGAGGCCGGGCAGTCAGCCGATGGTCGGATGCTTGGGGGATCTGTTTTGTTCTTTTTTGTTGCTTGTATATTCTATGGGCAGGGTCTCCGTGTGTCCTGTGGGAGGGAAAGCTTAAAGGATCGCCGCTATTCCTTTCCAAGGCTCCAAGCTCAAGGTGTTCGCTTGATTCCGGGCTTGAAGGGCAAGGATTGTCTTTGAGGCCTGCCCTGCAGCGACTTGAACAGCACGAGGCCGTAGTCCAGAACGATCTGGTGCCCAGCCCGGCAGCTGGCACCGAGACTGGGGCGGCGGTGGCCCAGACACGCGCGGCCACTCAGCCGAGCAGTAACTTCTATAACTTCTGCGGGTTTGGGATGGTTTGGGTTTAAGGAAGTATGCTGGGATTGTTTGCTCTGCTGTAGGGCATCACGGCATCCAAGCCCCATGAGGTTATCTCCGCTGCATGCCAGATGCTCATCTCTGACTCCACAGTAAAAGCTGCTCGCGCTGCAATTGAAAAGGGGCGAGCAGGATCGGATGATTAACGCCTAGGGGGTTCAGACTGAACAGCTTTTTTGGACTTGAATTGGTTTGACCGCATGATTTTGCGGTCGTTGTGCTTGGCAGATCTTTGGGGCTTCGTCTGTAGCGCAGCTCACAACCAACAACAATTGACAACATGGAAGAGCCGAAGTGACCCCCCTGTTTAAGGGCAATTTCGGCCATCTCCAAACCGGAAGTCCTAAGTCGTTATACACCATGCTAGACCCTGCTAGCCAGAGCCCTGAAGCTTACCATGGTGTTTAGAGCATCTCAGCTTCGTTTCATCCCCGAGGCTCTGGACGAGATGGACTTCGAGTGCGGGGATGCCGACTGTGGTGGCACCCACCGGGACGCTGCAGAGGCCCTCTTGGCCACCCTGGAGGTCGGCCCGGGAGGTCTAAGAGCTCCGCAGAGAGGTGCCGCAGAGGCCCTGATCCTTTTTGCGGTCGTGGTGTGATAGGGCACTTCAGTAGAGTGCTTAAGGAAGGCGCTTGAACGAGCTTCCAGCTGCTCCCGAAACTCGGAAGTCAGGGGTCGAAGGCACAGCATGCACTTCTTTGAGCAAGCAGTACACTTCAGCCTTTCGCTTCGCCAAAGCAGCTGCCTTGGCTGCAGGCCGTGCCAGGCGAGCCAGCGGATGCGCTTCGGTTCTTGGCACACCATTTGGAACACCAGTGCCGTGGAAGCTTGGTTGCAGCAAGCCGTATGTCTTCAAGGGTTGAAATTGAGGCCCAGGAAACAGCAAACCATGGAAGAGAGTCAAGATAATCATGTCAGCAATTCTTCGGGATGGTACCCCGGTGACTATCGGCTTTGAGAGGGACAGGCAGGTGGTTGATTATTGATTGTGTGTGTGTGTGTGTCTTGCTGTGATCTCCGAGTGGGTGTTTCAGCGGCTTGCCTGTGATGTTTCAGTAGTTCAATACTTTTTGAATGTTTCAGTGGTTTTCCGATGGGTTTTGGTTTCAGTGATTGAATCATGCGTTCAATGTTTTACTGCGATTCGATGAATATTCGACGCTAGTCGGTGTGTTCTGCACTCTCAACGGCTAGCCTGATTTGAGGATGTGATTCAATGATTCGTTCCTTGCCTCAACCCCTTTTTGTTCAGCCATTATTCTGCGATTCAGTGAGTTGTTCAATGATTTGTCAGTTGTCCGATGGTTGTTCACAACACTATTCAGCGAGTTTTCAGGGTCTTATCACTGATCTCCTCTGCTTTTTCAATTATTTCCAAAGATTCCGTGATTCTTCCAGTGATTCAGTACAGTGAGTTTTCATTTATTGTTGGTTTGGTATCATTTTGTCACTGGTTGCCCGAGATTTGTTCACTGATTTGCCAGCGATTCAATGATTTTTGCAGCATAATCACAGCCAGGCCGGCGGGCTGTGAACCCGATTACTGAAGGATCATTGAACAATAACCTGACCTCTTACTGGAATCCCTGAAAACTTATAGGGCCGGCCTGCTCTTGACTGGAAGACTGCAAGAGCTAGCACGGGTCGTTTTGCAGCACATGTCCGACAAAAGCTTCAACCCCCCCCCCCCCACCCCCCAAATGCAAAACGAACATGATCGCAACGCACTTCCTCTGCGACCTAAAAGCTTGTGATGGTTGGACAGCCTGATCATTTGACCTCTTTCTGCTGATCATGTCGTTTGTCAGCCAGCTCGAGGTGCCATTGGCGGAATCTACGTCTTGGGTTTAGAGGCAGACCGCGGTAAACCGGTTCTTTGGCAAAGGTAAGCAGTGGGACATGGGAAGATGGAACGCCTTCATAGCATCTCGCCGGATGGCATCGATTTACCGGGCGGTTTGAATCTGCATCACAAGATTGCTTCCGTGGGTCAATTTCATGCTTCAAGCTTGCAAGTACACCTTGTCGGTCTTGAAGGCCGAACACCCCATGCACACTTCAGTGCACAAGTTTATCCTTGGGAAGTCGGATACAGCATGTCACTGGCCAGACAAGTGCCAGCTGCAAGCAGCTAGCAATCTCAAAACTGTTCCAAGTCTTCTTTCTTCTTGCCATGCCCAAGATCTACAGCCGCACCGTTGTGTTTTGACAACCATACGCCAGACTTTCCACATTGGGTTTCAGGGTGATGCCCTTCGTAATGGACTGCCAACATGAGAGTTTCCATCCAGATAGCAGGCGGCTGCCAAACGAGTAGGGTCCGCGCCTACACTTCTCGATTGGGCAGAGGCCTCTTCGCCGTGGTTGCACATTGCGATTGAAAATTTGGGTTTGGGCCCCCCGTTCCAGGCTCCTGGAGAGAGACGTGACCCTTATGCAGGGGTGGAGTAAGTGCTCATCTGGTTCAAGGTCAAGCGCTTTTCAGGGATCCTTGCGGAGGCCCGCTTGAGGTTCTTCGGCTGTGGGCCTTCAGGCCAAAGCTTGAGGCCTTTCATTTCACCTTGGATCCAGAGAGGATTCCTTTTGCAGTCGAGCGTGGGTCCTCTTCCTTGGGGTCACCGGTCTACGAAGTCAGAGGGCTTCTTTGGCCTTTGCAGGACATGGGGTTGACCGAGGGCACCGAGGGCCGACCGAACATTTGCAGTTGCAAGCCGCAAGCGAAAGGAGCAAAGCAGTATTAGTGTGCTTCACTGTCGCTGTGCTGAGCACTGAGAAACTTTTGCCTGGTAGAAGGGGCACCCGCACCCATGCACAAATTTTCCCGTCGACCGGTACACCCACATTGTCGCCTCGGGTGTGCGGCTGACTTAAAACAACTGTTGGCAGCAAGCTCGTTCGCAAGCCTTTTTGTGGCAGCACCGGGACCCTCTTTCTCAGGCGCTTGATGCTGCTGGAAAGGCCATCCAGGATCCCACGCTGACCTGACCGTTCAGGGTCTCGTGGAGAGTGACTTTCCTCCTACAGGGGTTCTGCAGCATGCACTTCACGTTGATTTACATCGTCTTCGCCTCCGGGTCTCTTGAACCGGCTTGAGCCAATACTGCATATTCAGCGGCCTCCACTTGAAGACGTCGTACTAAGCAGAAATGTCCAGGGGATGACCTAAGACTTCTCGGGAGCACAGCCCCAAACCAACAGAGAAGAAGTCAAAGCCTCGAGGCCTAGACGAAACCGAAAGCACCCAACTTTCCGAGCTTTAGAATTTCCTGGGCCAAGGCGACAAATCTGGAAAGTTCCAAAACCATAGACCCTTGCTTTGGCCGACGCTTAGCACCTGAGACCCTCACCTTCGAGTTGTGCGGAAAGGAGTATGGAGGGGCGCAGCAGGGCGACAGGACCCAGAGATGAAACTCCTTGGGGCTGCCTTGAGGTGAAGTTGTAGAGGGTGCGGGTTTCTCAGGAACTGGTGGTTGGCGGAAGTTTCAGCTGCGAATCATCGTTCTTTGTCAAGACCACTCCCAAACTGAACAAGGCTGCTTTTCCGCTGCAAGGCCAAGGGGTGTTGACCTTCCTGGCTAGAAGTGCTGCACACGGAGTCATGCCTTTCAGCGACATAGCTGTGGCACACAAGCATACCCAACGAACGACTTTGGGCAGAACAGACTTGCCAAGCTGTCCGACCATTGGCACTGCTGAGCAGTATATAGTATATATATATGTGTGTATGTATATGTATATTATGTATATGTATATGTGTATTTATATGTCTGTGTGCGCGCGCGTTATTTAGTTTGTTTGTTCGTGCCTTTGTTTGTATTTTGGTTGGTTGGTTGTTTGCTTGCTTGTGTGTGTGTGTGTGTGTGTCTGTCTGTCTGTCTGTTTGCCTGTCTCTGTCCGTCTGTGTGTCTGTCTCTGTCTCTGTGTCTGTGTCTGTGTCTGTGTGTGTGTGTGTTTTTGTCTCTGTGTGTGTGTGTGTTTTTGTCTCTCTGTGTGTGTGTGTCTGTGTGTGAGTGTCTGTCTGTCTGTCTGT